TTTGCTAATGGGCCCAAAGTCCATGCCCAAAAATCATTAATAGGCCTCATGGCCCAATCATAACATCTATGGCCCAAAACAGATAAACTGGCCCACCATCCCCAAAATACGACCATACCCAATGACCAATTTAGGCCCAACAGTTCAAAGGCCCAAAATGAAATCCAAGCCCATGTGTTGTGCGTACGCTTAGTGTACCACCCTGGTACGCGCAGCATACTGAGTCTCTGAGCCTTACGCGATGCGTACGCTAGGTTACGCCCAACGTACTAACATATTAAGCACTTTATCCATTAAGTGTTTAATGCTCGATCCTCTTACGTCTAAAAGTCAGATCTAAGCTTATTAAGACAACCTAAGGCATAAAGTTGGCAACTTTATGCCTTTGTATGTATCATATGTTCCCAACAACCCCATTAAGACCTTTTTAAGGTTCCTAATCTATACATGAGGTCACAACACCAATCAAGACTTCATTTTTATGTTGTAAATGGACTAAAGGACCTCAAATATAACCTTTCCAACATCTGGAGTTGCTCAACTCACAAGAGGAGATCCAAAACCAACAAAAAGGGACCAAACTAGAAAACCCTAACTAGATCTAATGAATAAGATGGAACGATCCAAGATTTGTACCTCCATAAGCTCCTGAAGGTGATCTAGATGCATATTCTTGAAGCCTAAAGTCACTCCAAGCTTGCTTGGCAACTTCTCCTTCTTGAATGGATATTAAAAATGGCCACAGATGCACTTTCTAAGCTAAAAAATGACCTCACAACTCTCTCTCTCTCTCTCTCTCTCTCTCTCTCTCTCGTAGAAGGGAGAAATAAGGTTGTGGAGGATGTCCAGGGTTAGGTCCAAGAGGCTTAAGAACATTTAAATAGGCATCAAGTCCGGAAATTAGGGTTTTGGCCATTCGGCACGTACGCCCAACGTACGTGCTGCCCCTTCGCGATCCTCTTTGCTAAGTATGCTAAGCGTACTCATAAGTATGCCCAACATACTTAAGGGACTTATTATGCTAAATTTAGAATTCTTCAAGGGTTTCAAGGCAATACCTGATTTGGAATGTTACAACTCTCTCCCACTTGAACCAAACTTCATCCTTGAAATCCGTAGCTGTGAATAGATTGGGATATTGCTCCTGCATCTCCTCCTCCGGCTCCCAAGTCCATTCAGAGCCTCTTCGGTGCTGCCATTCCACCTTTACCAGTTTCACCTCCTTGTCCCAAAGACCCTTTGTCTTCTTATCTAAGATGTAAACTAGCCTCTCGACGTAGTTCAAGCCCTCATCCACCAGAATATCATCCAACGAAATAACTATGGACTCGTCAGTGGCACACTTCCGAAGTTGAGACACGTGGAAGGTGTTGTGAATCTAACTAAGTTCCTCCGGCAGATCCAAGGGATATGCCACCTTGCCCACTCAGGTCATGATCCTAAATAGGCCTATGAACCGAGGCCCTAGCTTGCCTTTCTTCCGAAATATGATGATCCCCTTCCATGGTGACACTTTCAGTCGCACAAAGTCCCCCACCTGGAACTTAAGTTCTGATCGTCTTCGGTCTGCATAACTTTTCTGACGGTTCTGTGCTACCCGCAGCCGGTTGCGTACCTGCTAAATCAGTCTGGTAGTCTTGAGCACTACCTCAGTACTCCCCATGACCCGGTATCCAACCTCGTCCCAACAAACCGGAGTCCTACAGCTTCGACCATATAACATCTCAAATGGAGCTCGATCGATACTGACATGAGTACTGTTATTATACGAAAATTCTGCCAATAGGAGGTATGTGTCCCAACTCCCTCCAAAATCCAATACGCATGCTCGAAGCATGTCCTCCAGTGTCTGGATCGTCCTCTCGCTGTAGCCATTGGTATGGGGGTGGTACGCCGTGCTAAAATGTAGCTGAGTGCCCAGTTCCTCATGCAACTTCTTCCAAAACCTGGATGTAAACCGAACATACCTGTCAGAGACTACTGAAACTGGCGCCCCGTGTCTGGTCACCATCTCTCGTACATAAATGTCCACCAACTTATCCGCGAATATACTCTTAGAAATCGGAATGAAGTGGGCACTCTTCGTCAGTCTGTCACGATCACCCATATGACGTCCACACCCCTCACCATCCTCGGTAACTTCGTGATGAACTTCATGGTGATCTCTTCCCATTTCCACATGGGAATGGGTAGAGGTTGTACCTTGCCATGAGGCCGCTGATGCTCGGCCTTGACCTTCCTGCAGGTCAAGCACCGCTCCACAAACCAGGCGATCTCCCGCTTCATGCAGGGCCACCAATAACTCAGGCTCAGATCTCTATACATTTTTGTAGCTCCTGGATGAATAGAGAACTTGGACTTGTGTGCCTCCTCTAATATCCCCTATCTCACTGCTCCAGTCATCGGTACCTACACTCAGCCACACTGCGTCAAAAGGCTACAACTATCCTTAACAAACAAATGATATCATCCCCGAATCTTTTCTATCTTCCAATTCTCTTTATTCACTCCCTTGACATGGGCCTCTTTGATCATATCCAATAAAGGATAAATCACCGTCATCCTTATACAAATGTTCCCAATCGCCAATCGGGGACCTCGATGTCTTGCGGCTCAACGCATTGACTACCATATTGGCCTTCCCTGGATGGTATAGTATCTCACAATCATAATCCTTCAGCACATCCAACCACCTCCTTTGTCGCATGTTGAGGTTTTGCTGATCCATCAAGTACTTTAAACTCTTGTGATCAGTATAAATGGTGCACCGCACTCCGTACAGATAGTGCCTCCAAATCTTGAAGGAAAATACTACTGCCCCCACTTCCAGGTCGTGAGTGGAGTAATTCGCCTCTTGAGGCTTCAACTGCCTCGAGGCGTAAGCTATCACGTGTCCTCTCTGCATTAGTACTGCACCTAACCTCGAAATCTATGTGTTACAGTACGCCACCAAATCGTTTAACCCCTCGGGTAGTACTAGGATCGGAGCCTCGCATAACCTCCATCTCAAGGTCTCAAAGGCCAACTGTTGGTCTATGCCCCACCGAAATGTCACATTCTTCTTGGTCTTCGGTATATCCTCATCCCGAATCCTTATCTGATGGTACCCTGACTGAAGATAGTCGTTCTTACCATCGTATACTATTAATTGATAAGGTATACTATCTGGTGGTAACTACTCTAAGTCTTTGTAATTCACAAAATATAAATAAAAGACTTGCTTAAAGTTTTGACATCAACCCCCAACGCTTCTTTACCCCACCGTAGATAGAACCCCACATTCTATCTCCATTCCATACTACTCTTCCTGTTGTCTCCTAATATCATTTTTTCCTTTCTACATGGTTCATTAGAGTCGTATACATAATGTGTTTGAGACTGGTGCATTGCTCTTGAGAGAAAAAGATAGGCATTACATGGTTTGAAAACAGATGAAGGGAATAATGTAGCTTTGATTTGACACAAAATGAACGAAATGTGAAAGAACTCAAGGTGGGCTATTCGGTCGGTTAATTGGTTATCAATTTGTTTGGTTTAGTTTAATCGGTTTTTGGTTTAATTGGTTCGATTTATTTAATTTGGTTTACCGTTAGATCTCAATATATGTGTTGCACTTTTTGTAGTTTGGAGAACTGTTTGAGCATGATTAAATACTATGTAATCATAAAATTTATTTATATTAAAAAATTTATAAATTTTAGTAAATTTGAAAGTTTAAACATAAAAATCGTACCTTTAAATAAATTTTTTTGATGATATATGAAGATAGATTTTTATTATTTAAATTCTTTTCCAACAAATTGTAATACAGAACTTGGTTTTGAACATCAAGAATATGAATTGTATTTTAAAAACTTTATTGTTACAATTAATTAAAGAAATATGATTTTTTTTTTATAAAAAAGGTATGAAAATGTTTTAAAAAGGTTACAACTAAAACATTGAAGCCGTAGCAATATAGTGCACTGCTGTCTCCGCAGTTGAACATTCTTGAGCTAGAAGTCCCAATGGTTGAAAAATAAAAATGAGCTAGGAAAGTTTAATTGATTAAGTCGGGTATTATGAAATATTCAAATCGGAAAGATATTGTTATGTGATATAAAATTTAAAATAAAAAAAATGAAAAATTATTCTACATAATTGATCGGGTTATTCCAGTCATACCAAATAATAAAAACATAAATTGAAAAATAAGATTAAAGATAATCAGTTAAATCGAGAACCGATTAAGATCAACCGAGTAAACCGAACCTTATTCAGTCGATGATGGTTTGTTTGGTTTTAGTGCTTTTCTATCAGTTTTTGGATTCCTGTAGCTTTTCCATGTGCATATCGTGATTATGCAAATTCAATATAATAACATAAAAGTTACACATTTCTATTCAAAAAATGAATATAAAAGAGTTCAGTTGAAAAATAAATTGCTTAAAAATTTAAAGTGGTTCAAAGTTCAAACCTCTTCTCTTGTCTATGTTTCTTGAGGCTATCTCGATTTTTCCACTAAATAAATTTTCTGTAATTTAACGGTAGAGATGAGATATTATAAGAAGCGAAGGTAAAATAACCGCGTATCAACATCAAAAACTATTATCCAAATCCAAATGATACATCAAATAAGTTCAACCAACCCAAAATTAAATTTTTAGAAAGATATTAAATTCCAAATATAAGTTACTAATCAAATAAATTAAAACTCCTTAAAATAACACTTTTTGCTTCCAGGTTTTATTAAGACAACTGATATGGCTTATTACAATTGGAGTTAAAAGCAAAGAATCAGTCGACCACTATAAATTTGTTGCAAGTCAAAAAACGCCACCGAACTCTTTGAACATAATAAATGGATAAGAACTCGAATCAACCGACTACTTTTCTCTCCTTCTTGTCCATTCAAAAAAGCCATTGACCATAAAGACTTTTAACAGAAGTTTTCACCTAGGGTTATAAATAGTTAACACATCTTCCCATTAATTAAACACAAACAAAAACCTAATTTAACCATGGTTATCCGAAGTCTCATTTTGCTCGTAATCCTAACCATCGTGAATCTTCCCTTCAATCATGGTCAGACAGAATCTTCCAAACCTCAAGATGTCCGAGCTGCGTATTGGCCTACGTTCATTGATTATCCCGCTTCTAATATCGACACGTCGTACTTCTCGCACATTTACTTTGCATTTGTTCTTCTCTCTCCGACAACTTACGCACTCGATATCACACCAGATCAAGTCACAAAGCTACTCGAATTTACCAACGCCAAGAGTGGTTGGAATCCGCCAGCCAAGACTGTCTTATCAGTCGGAGGTGGTGGAGGTGATGACTTAAAGACCACTTTCTCTCGCATGGCTAGTAATCAATATTCTCGTTCAAGTTTTATTAATTCGACTATTGAAGTCGCCCGAAAATACCAGTTTGATGGTATAGATCTTGATTGGGAATACCCATCAAGCGATTCTGATATGGCGAATTTAGGTGTATTACTTAACGAATGGCGAGAGGCTATTGAACAAGAAGCCAATGTCAACCAAAAACAACGACTCATACTGACATCGGCCGTTTATTATGCCTCCAGAGTTTACTCCGATAACGGACCTTTATTGTACCCGATCAAAGCGATAACTCAATCTGTTGATTGGATTAGTCCGATGTGTTATGATTATCATGGTTCTTGGGAAGATTTCACTGGATTGCATTCTGCATTATACGACCCAGATAGTGATCTCAATACAGATTTTGGTATCGGGTCATGGATTCAGGCAGGTGTGGCGCCTGAAAAGATTGTAATGGGCCTGCCGTTATATGGAAAGACATGGGCACTTGCGGACCCGAATGTCAACAATGTCGGGGCCAAAACCATTGGGACAGGCCCAGGAAGTGGAGAACTGAGGTACTCTGAAGTCATTGATTTCAATAAGAAGAATAGTGCAGTGGTTGTGTTCGATGACAAAAGGGTTTCATATTATTCGTATTCTGGGAATTCATGGATATCGTATGATGATGTTCCATCAATTCAATCGAAAGTCCGTTATGCAAAAAATAAGGCCCTAAGTGGCTATTTCCTTTGGGCATTGGGCCAAGATTTAGATTGGGCTTTACGAGTGCAGCATCTGAAACATGGTTAAATTGAACTAATTAATACTTGTGTTGTGGGATATTTCTATGTTTATGTTATATTTATATGGGAACATACGTCGTTTTTGTAACGTCAATATGTTACTTTTCAAGAATAACTACTCTTAAAGCCTATTTTAATAAATTTGTAAAACTATTTATTAGTTTATCTATTCTAATAAAAGAAGAGTTTTTTTTTTTTTTTTTTTAAATAATATTATACTTTCATTCAATTTGTCAAGACTAAACTGTACAAATGATCCCTATGATTTGTTGAAAATTGCCACATTGATCTAAAAAAAGTTTGGACAAGCACCATAAGGCCAAAAATTTCATTTTGTTGCGAGTTCACTCCAAAACACTTTAAAAATTCTTCAAACGATAGATTTACTCTTTTTCTATTTGTTTTTTCATTTACTATTTTATTATTATTTAATTACAAATGGTCTCTCTCTCTCTCATGACGTCGTATGAGAAATACCCCCTTTTAGCGGAGAAAACACATATTTCCCTTCATATTTCCAGTCACGAAACCTTATCGGAAAACCCAATCTCATCCCTTCCTTGCCACTAGATCATCAACGTCACTGTCACCCCATCTTGATTCATTGCCACTCCAGCGTCACCTTGATAATGCCTCACATGAATCTTTTCTTGTTGAATCGATTGAGTCTGGATGTTGAAGAATTGAAATAATCTCAGATAAGATTTAATCTCCTAACCGAGGCTACTTGTTGAAGCTTAATCTGCTCTCTCAACTTGGCTATAAATTCCTCGACTTTCATATCGACCTCACTAGAATGTGGTAAAGTGCATCTAAGTTTCTTTGTTTGTGGTTTGCTAGTAAGATGAAGAATGATGAATTGAAGGTAAGATGAATAAGGATGAATTGCAGGTAAGATGAAGAAGGTTCTTAAGGTAAATCACACCGTCACTCCACTTGTTGCTACCACTACTTGCTATGACGTAAATTTCTTAACTCGGAGACCAAATTTGCAAAAATTGGCATTCTACCTGTGTGTGTCTAGGTTTTTTATCAGGAGTGACAGAAGGTTAGCGAAGGAAGATTCTGATTCCAAATCGACTTTAACATTGCTCGAAGCAATCCCCTCGTTGGTCACCATGCTTGATTCTGACGATCTCGATTCTCAAATCGCCACTCTCTACATCTTTCTATATTCAAACTAATTGATTTTCAAGAACCAATTGATACTCACATGAAATCGTTTCATGAAAACGTTGGTCAATCGATGTTGTTCTCCTTACCTTAACGTCGTCATTTCCCACAACAAGTGGTTGTCTTTGATTATTGACATCTGGTTCTTGATCGCCCATTGCTAAGAAATTCCATTGTCATCATCACTAGCCAAATAATGTTCCTCATAAATATGATTATTGACATCTGGTTCTTGATCGTCCATTGCTAAGAAATTCCGAGAGTATTTGTATATGCTTTGTTAGTTGAAAAATTAAAATATTTAAAAATGTCATACAAACTAAATAGGGATGAAAACGGATTCTATGCAAATTAAAAGCCTTGATATTAGGGATCATTGATAAAAATAAATGATTCCGATTTGATTTTTTTTTAAAACATGATAAAGGAAAAAATATTCATACGATACTATATTCACATTTCAAATATAAAAAATTTCAACAGTAAATTATATTAACTACTTAACAATATTATTATGTATTTTTTTAAAGGAAAGTTGCAGAATATTTTATTGACAAAAGTATTCTATTAGAATGTTATATAAATATGCATTACAAAACTCTACATATTATCGGAATGAAATAGTTCTATCAGAATACTATAGCAAGTATGACTTATAAAACATATCCATTTTTGTTAACTCGAATCAATGGACGCATTAAGAATTTTTGTTAACTCGAATCTGCTCTGATATTCTGTTGGAAAGATAACCTGTATGATCATATAACACATAAATATAGCAGAGAACACGAACATCTTATTAATTTTAACCATAATACTTACAGAAAGACACATAGAATTCATCAAATGACCAATTTATTACACTAAACTGAAACTTGATAATACCATATAATTCATCAAAAATTACTTTTATTTTACTGAAATCAAACTAAATAATATCTAAAAACGACCAATTTGATGAAGTTCTTGTAGTTCTATGATTTCTTCAATCCAGAAGGACAATTCCTGCTATCATGACCAACTCCAAAGCATGTTTTACATCTTCTTATTTTCTTTACAACTTGATTCACCGGATTCTTGGAATCATTGACATTACCCAAATCCTTCCTGGGATTTTGATCATTGTTTTCCTGGAAGATTATCAGATTTAATACATCTGTATATATAAAAACAATAAAAGGGTGTGTGGGGGACGTTTGAAACAAAATCAGGATTATCGTTGACAGATGCTTGTAAATATGTAGCAATACATGGTTCCGATTTCCAGTATGAACATCCATCGAATGAGTAACACAAATTGATCGGCAGGTTATATATTCGAGAATTGTGATATGTGTTTGTGGATCGCACGTTAAAATCGATTATATAGAGAAAATTACATTAAAGATAACTAAATCAATCATAAAAATTGCCTAATATAAAGGGATAAGATTCAGATTAAATAAGGAATTAAAATGAAAGATTACATAATTACCCTTATGGATTAAAAGAATTAATTAATAATTTGCTAAATTGTGATTGGTGCATTTAGGCACACAATACTTATTGAAAACATTTGAACCTAACTCTCTCTCTCTCTCTCTCTCTCTCTCTATATATATATATATATATATATATATATATATATATATATATATATATATATATATATATATATATATACTAGTCGTTTACCCGCGCCAAGCGACGGGTTTAAATAGTTTTTTCAGAAATTAATTTCTATCGTCAATTAGTTCTTTTGCGCAAACGGTTTACTACATCTACACAATTATCAATTAAAGTCATGCTAGCAAAAACGAAATCAATAAGAATTAAAAATAAAAAGTTAGGATTCTTTATAATGTACGTGAACACATGATTACTTGTGCATTACTAAACGTGTAATACTTGTTTATACACCACATTTGATGTATAGATTTTTCAGTGTCGTTGAGTTGTTCCTCAGGTTTTACTAACACTTTTGTATCGATAATTAGTTTTATTTTGAACCATGTTATATTTCAAGCAACATAATGCATATATATATTGTTATCGGTCAGTTTTGCGGTAAGAAATAGTTGTAACGTATCAATACAAAGGAAACATGTTAAAAATATGTTGTGTTCTTTGGTTAAGATGACTAAAATTCAGCATTTGTAATTGTTTTGTGATTGATATCTAGATTTATCTTGACACGGTTATTGGCTTGACCGAGTCGATATATATATATATATATATATATATATATATATATATATATATAATCCATTTATGTAACCAATGGACAAAGTAAGTCTAAATTTATATCATTAAATAATAAGATGAATTTTATCGCATCAATAAACCATTGCAAAAAGATAATGCATCGTCACATAAATATGTTTCGTGTGAACAAATGGTAGAATTTGTTAACCACATGGTAAAAGAGAAAGTTGTGACCATAAGTAATTTTGGTCATGATTTAATATTATAATGTGTGTTTAACATAACTATTTGTGTACACCATGACTTACAGTTTTAAGGACTCTGCACACATATTACTGCAATCGGGATTTCTTCAAAAGTCATTTGACCCTAACCTTAAATCCACATATCTTTGACCTTTTAAAGTGGATTCATTCATGTATCTTCTATTGTATTTTGGGCAATGAAACTTGGACGAATTAATTTTAAGCAGAAGGTAATGATTGATAAGTAGTATATAAGACTTAGAAAAAGTGGCATTAAAACTTGATGACAATATTAAGTTGAAGGCAATGCGGTAGGCAACGTTTTGTTTTATTTCGACGAATAGCTTAACATATATTTAAGAACTATACATACATTGTTGTTTTGTATTAAAAATAAAAAAATGTAACACATAATATAACCTCTAACAAATATAACCCATAAATTAACCAACACAAATTGAAGAATTTAGAAATGGATTTGAATATTATTAGAAATGTGTGATTAGAGTTGAATGTGTACCTATTATCAAGGGTTTATACTCCCAATCCGAATAGCATACAAACGTAATCTCTTAAAACATGTTATTTACATTACTTGTTAAGTACCCAACATGCAAATAATTTTAGACAGAACCATATATTTATTTACAGATTTCGCTTAGTAGACATAACCTAATATTTCATACCCAATAAATGTTATTAGTTGAGACAGAAGAAGTAAAAAGAAGTTAGAAGAACCTGGTGTCATATTATAATAATGTTTCGGTTGAATAAAATCAAACTAAGAATAACTAATTAACATGATATAGTTTAACTTGTAATTCAAAGCCACATGAAACACAAGAAGAAAAATTAGATAAAGAAGAAGAACCTTGAGCCATCTAACAGAATAATATTTGCCTTCTATTCCTTGCCTTTGCGTGGAATGTTCTTTCTTTTCTTGACTTTAGTGGGATCTATAAGTGATGTATGTGGGAATAAGTGATGAGAGAATTGTATATATAGGAAACAATATTATTATGGAAGGTGAGAATATTATGCAAATTAAGGATTTTCTAAAATTATTATAGGATGCGAGAATATTATACAAATCAAAATTGAGTGATTGAGCATAATCATATCTAAAATAACCTAAAAAATACTAAGTTATCAAACTTACCCAAATTTTGAATCAATTCATCACCTTCAACCCTGCAATTGCTAATTTTAGTAAATGATTTGCTAATGAGAAAAAATGGTAAATATTTACTTTACCTCTGACTTTTTGTAAGGTGTCCTCTCCGTTAACGCTAGCTTTATTCTGTTTAGTTCTAACACAAGTAAATTTAGTAATTCTGGAATTGTAATTTATTGTCTTGTATTCGGAATGTCCACCCATGATACATGTATTAGCACAAATGATGAT